ACATCTTAGATTTACATCTTTTATAGTGTAGTGATGTGTAAAATGTTTGGTGCATGATTCAGACACTGCAACCATATACATACATATAGAATGAGAATATACACACTAGCAGAATAACAATGTCCAAAATACACAATTATTAAAAAATATATAGATTAGACAAATGCACTGAATTGACATATATACCCTACATATGCCATGTTAGAAACAAAATTGGAATATCCGATTTGAAATGTCCCGCACCAAAACAATGAGCCATGACTCAACATGGACATTTTGTGTTCTGCTAAATAAATTCATAAATTAAAGCAACATTCAGACTGTCCCAAAATAATTATATTGTCATTTGTTATTCAAAACTATCTAATGCCAAAAGGTGAAATGGACTTCTAGATGTTAGTGATTATATAGTTTTCTGTTAAACAAATAAAATAAGTAAAAACATAGGAATTCATTGATACACAATCATTTATTTTAGTATACTTAAATCCGCCAGGTGTCTATGCTTATTGGTCACCGCCATCTTGGAAATTAGATAAAGCTCAGTGGTTCAGCTCAGTGCTGCCAACCATACTGACTGAGTGAATTGAAGCGGATGACACTGCAAAATGTCTTATTTACATTGTTGTTGTTTTTTATAATGAAAGGATTTGCGAACGTGCTTTGGCTGAACTCTGTGAGCTTGCTCTAAACAAACTCTACTTTCAGCGTATTCCGTGCAACCCTAGTCCTGGGACTCTTAATTAGAAAATTGGTTTGTGTTGTGTTCTGTCCTTGTTATATTCTCACTTCTTGTGATGATGTCTGGTTTTCTAAGTTATAAAGTAGTGACTCAAAGTCCGATTCATTTCCGCGAACCGGTACTTTTCGGACAGAGCGGCTCATTGAACCGGTTCAAAAAGCCAATTCATCGGTTCCTGATGTCATCAAGCAATAACGTCTCTACGCATTTCTTTTCTAACAACTCCGTGCCATGTTGTATCAATGAAAAATTCAAACAAGTCATTTGTGTCAACGCATGAAACATTCAAAAGTAAAGTTATTTGTGTGAAAGCATATGGCTGATTATTGCCATATAATTCACTTAAGTTAATGGTGTTTGTGGTCACAGTTTCATTCGCGGATCCTCAGATACGACTGATTGACCAATATTGACTAGCCTACAACTTGGATAAGATTCCTAAAAGTTTTGCACCTACAGCACACATTACAGACATTGATGCACAAACGCGGATATGTTCTACATGTCTACCGTATAAAGAATGAATAAACCAGTCTTACAAACTCCTTGATTTCACTTAAGCAACTTTAAATATAATATGCATGCACAATAAACTATTGTAAAATGTATTTACATCACTCGACAGAAAGGTTTTTGCAGGTTTTTATAAAATGTAAATTAATAACAGTCATAATAAACAAGCATATTTCCAGTACGCACCTCGGACTTGCACAGTATCGTCAACTCACTCATCAGAATCTTCGGTAATCCTCGGCAAACTTCGCCACGGCTCATTCGGTTCTTGTGGAGTCCTCTGTAATCCTCGGCAAACTTCGACAGTTAATTGAACCGGCTCATTCGGTTCTTTTTGAGTTGGACGTGCTACTTCGGCTGGGCGTCCTGCGTCATCACTAAAGTTCGATTCAGCTCGATTTGTGAACCGGCTCGACCGGTTACTTCCTGAGAACTGGTTCAAAAGAAAGATTCGTTCAAGATCCTAACATCACTATTACAAAGCAATATTGCCATCTTTACCTGTTTCTAGTTTTGCCCCTCTTTTCTTTAGGCATATGTTGGTTACTTATCAATTGCGTCCTTAAGTCTTACAGTTAAGTCTTACGTCCTTCCTATCCTAAGAGCGGGGGCAGCTTTTTGTAACTTAAATGAGCAAGACTTCAGATGTCTTCCGCTTCCAGTTATTTTAGCCATACAAAATCGCTTGTTATGTTGCTTGAGATTGCAAACTGGTTTTTCTTATCATATTATTTTAATGTATTGTCGTAATTATAAACACATGGGTTTGTAGCCCCAAATAGCTTCATGGCTTGGCTAAGTCATAAATGTTTCTGCCCCCACTGTCCCGGCATAAAAATACTATTAACATTAAACGTGAAAAAATACATATTAATTGACTTTCTATTAATGAAATCCACTTAATGACAACTGTCTGTGGCCTACAAAACGTGCAGAGCAGTTGTACCCCGGGACTGGAATTGAGAACCACTGTCCTAAATCATTGTTTTACTGCACTGCATAGTGAAATTGGAAGAGCTCAGATTCACTTTCCTTTAATTCTTTTCTTTGGATATGTGCAAAGGATTGTGGGTTATTGATGGATAAACTTGCTGCATCTTTCAAAATAAGCTGAATGATAGACGCAAAGTGAAGGCTGCCTTTCAAGGATCCTTCAAATTGACATAGCCTTCGATGACGTGGTAGCCTAGATATGCAGCCTTACTAGGATGCAGCCTTTGAATTTAGTAGAATTTGAACCCATAGTTTCCTCTGTTCATTGTCAGTGCGTTTAACATTTGTGGTTAAACTGTCGTCTTTGTTTAAACCTTCCTCAGTTGTTTTCCTTTGTTTTGTTCCACTGGATTAGAAAAAGAAAAGAAATCTAGAACTCAATTATTGTTTTGTATTGCATGATCATATCTGCAGTCGGGGACAGTTTACCTCGTCACTGCAGTTTACATAGTTAAGGCCATTTAATCTGGTTCAACTAGCTTCAGCAAGGAGCCTTTAGCTTCTTGTATCATGCAAGTATACAACAGAGATTTCCGTGATGAAGTCAAATGGGTAAAGCGATCACTCGCTGTGATCACTGGATAGAGCGGCCGGTTTTGCTGATTGACCCACTACTTGACCTGCCCACTGGGAAAGTCCTGTCCAGTCCATACCGTGCATTCTAACCAGCATGTAACTTTGTTCAAGTTCACATGTGCTTGCATTCGCTTCATTTTCTAAACCAAATATTCAAAAGAACATAAACAGCATTATATATATCGACCCTTTTCCTTTGTCATAACATTACTGAACATTAATATTTTACCAAGGCATGAACCAACACTGCATTTCAATGATCTCTTTGTGGGGATGGAAGGCACAGAGAATTCACCAATGAGGCAGTACACAGTATGCTGTTGTCTGCAGTGAGAATACAGTTCAAAGTCCAAGGCAAGCATAAACGAAACATCACTAGTGTAACCAATTCAAAAGAGCCTGGTGAAACAGGAGTGGTTCCCCGACCTGGAAACTCAGCACAGCAGATGAATAAAAAAGAAGGAAAAATCTGTGTACAAACAAATAAAAACTAAGTTGCTTCACCAGACATTCAACATTTTAAATACAAAGTTCATACAACAAAACATGGCAACACTTAGGTTGATATGTAAGTACAATAATATTCCTCAAAGTAGGGCAAAAATAGCAAATGAGATGAACTCATGGCTCCTGCTACAGAACATGGTTACACACTTGATAAAGGCCCTGAACCAGGTGTGTCCAGTCCTGCTTCAGAGGACCAGTGTACTGCAGAGTTTAGCTCCAACCTGCCCCAACACACTTGCCTGAAATTTGTTTTGGGTGCTTTCCACTTTGCATTTAGGCACAAACACTTCCCCTTAAGGTTTAATTTGCACAGGTAACAATGAAAAACCTATAATTTCACTCTGTACTCGTAAAAAAATACTGAAGTATACTTGAGCTTATAGTGTCGTTGAGAGAACAGTGGGTTTGATGGCTGAATCCTCTGCAGATTGTAACCTGCATTAGTAAGGGGTTTTAAATGGCAGAAAGGTGGGTGAAAGGAGTGACAAGGGTGCACTCTAGGGTCCAGGGTTACCAAAGAGGTTTATTCATATTCTAAATCTAGTTGTACTTGAGAATTACGTAGAAGATCATTCATAATACCATTTTATACCACATTTTGTAGCGGTACTATACTCTTGTATGGGTTTACATGAAGTTCCTGGGCCCAGCTCAGTATGTATTTGTTTTTAGTTGATCAGCCTGCTAACACTTGAATTATCTGTTAACAGTAATTTGTTACGAATTTTACTGCATGCATTTACTTTTTCTTCATTTACTTTTCTCCATTATTCAATGATCTAATGGAGTTTTTTGTTCTTTGCCACAGACGCCTTTATCTGATATTTTGTATTATGTAGCCTACTATGTATTTAGGTATACATCCACTAACTTTCCTCTAACAAATCACAATTTTTTTTTTTTTAAGTTGTAGGATCGCTGTTTATTTCACACCTACATGACTGTTTTGGGTTCTTAAACAACTTCGTTTAAGGCCACTAATCAAATGTAAACACATTTGAAACATTGGTAACCCATTTGTACAGTAGGTACAAAAGATGCTCTGAAATTTCACTTTTGACTAAAAAATTTAGGCTAATAATATTTGTATAGAAAATAGAAGCATTTTCAATAGCTGCCTCAAACTGTTTGTCTCTTGCCTTAATGATTAATTTGGACCAGCCACACCTTACGAGATGGACTTCAGAAATGAGATGAGTTTCACTTTGCAGAGAATTCGCAAAATCCAGCCTGGGGAAGTTATTACAGTCACACTGTTTCCTTTGTCCTTCTACAATAACTTTGTGGTGGCACAAAGAAGCTCTGTAAGAAACACTAGAATTCAGATGCTCTTGTGTTGCGTGGTACAGCAGCGGCTTTGTCTCGCTGCACTGGGTTCAAACCTGACCACCTCCTGAGGAAGCACTGCTCTGAAATCTATGAATCTCTAGATCTGTTTTATGAAAAATATACAGAATCATAAAAACTACTTATCTATGAATTTATCACAAATGGCAAAGTTTCCATAATTTGTCATGTCTATTGCAGTGCCTCTGGATCTTTTTTCAAATAATTTTTTTTGACTTTATGACAGAATCTGTAGCACTTGTTGCCTGCACAGTGGGGGGTGGTAGGTGATGACAATGATCTTACTGTGAAATGTCAGATAACTCCCGATGTTTCTGTGCAGGACAAGGGGAGGCGGACCTTAACCAGAACAATGGGTGCTCCAGCAAGAGTCCAGTGGTGACTGACTCCATGAACGCTGCAGTAGATCTCAGCAGCTGGAACCATCCGAACACAGCCGACCCTAATGCCTCAGGGCCCC